GGTTCGAATTATTTTAAAATGTTCAGGGGTAAAAATCAAATCATTCTGTAAACTCTGAGTAACACAGATACATATAAATATAAAAATATTTTGTATTTTCTTGTTTAGTATCTCAAAATGAAATTTAAAGATGAAATAACCAACCTAACACAAAATTAAACTATACATATGTATATATACATATGTTTCAACTGTAATGTAAAAGAGAAGCGAAATAATTTACAATAAAGCAACATGTATTTCAATATGCAAATGTTCAGACAAGACTATATTGGAAAACATAATTAAGTAGGTAGCTACTTGCATCTGTATACAGATTTTATGATTCAGGTGTGTTATATTGGTGTCTAAAACACAAGTGGCATTGCTTTGGGTAAGTGATTTCCTGAACAAAATTCAGGATAATCTTCCTTAGATTTACACAGCATTTTTAATCCTGGAAGTTTCAGTGTATAGTGAAACCAATTTATGATCTAAGCCCAAAAAAGTATAGAAGGTTTTCACCTACATCTTCGGCAAAACGTTTGAAAATTGCCCAGGACATGAGCTAATTCATCATTGAATGGAGCAGTCCAGAACACTGGAAGGCACTATTATTTCTAGTTTCTGCCAATGAATGCTAGTAGTGCCCCTCAATCATATGACCATCAAATAACACACCTGCAGATTTCCAGTGTGTTCCCCAAAAAGCAATACCACACCCATTCATTACCACTGGCATAGACTAGTCTCTAATCCCAGCTTAACCACATGCTACCCTTGAAGCTCTGAGAAGTCACTCGGTCATTTACAGATCACCCCAGCTAAAGTATCATTTCACCAACTCACCCAGTTACAAGCAACAGTGACAAAAAATCCTTGAATTTGAGTTTTCTCTAAAAAGTATCAAAGTAGTCATGATGTTTAAGAAAAATCACTTCTTAAAAATTTACGGGCAGATCACGAGGTCAGGAGATCGAGACCATCCTGGCTAACACGGTGAAACCCCGTCTCTACTAAAAATACAAAAAACTAGCCGGGCGAGGTGGCGGGCGCCTGTAGTCCCAGCTACTCCGGAGGCTGAGGCAGGAGAATGGCGTAAACCCGGGAGGCGGAGCTTGCAGTGAGCTGAGATCCGGCCACTGCAGTCCAGCCCGGGCTACAGAGCAAGACTCCGTCTCAAAAAAAAAAAAAAAAAAAAAATTTATTTATACTTATTTTGAATTACAGATTAGAGGATGAACACCACACTATTTTTTAATATTTAGATCCTAAAAGTCTGAATCTGACTCTGCTCAAACCCAATTAGATTTTGTAATAACTTCCAGTGAAAAGCTGTCTCAGGAACCATTGGCATAGACAACTTTTTTTTTTTTTTTTTTTTTTGGATACAGGGTTTTACTCTGTCACCCAGGCTGGAGTGCAGTCTTACTATCTCAGCTCACCGCAACCTCTGCCTCCCAGGTTCAAGCGATTCTCTTGCCTCAGGCTGCTGAATAGTTGGGATTACAGGCGCCTGCCACCACAGGCGGCTCACTTTTGTATTTTTAGTAGAGATGGGGTTTCACCATGTTGGCCAGGCTGGTCTTGAACTCCTGACCTCAAGTGATCCGCCACCTCAGCCTCCCAAAGTGCTGGGATTACGGCCACCGCGCCCAGTCATGACAACTTTTAAATCCTACTATTAAAATGTTATGTGTAACTTTGTTTGCTAAACAAATGCCATGTTTGCCATTTTTAAATAAAATCTAGAAAAATAACAGAAAAATTGGAATGAGAACTATTTTCTTTGACCTCTTATAGACCAAAAAAAAAAATTTCACCCAAATTTTCAGTCTTCATTCTTATTATTTTGTACCTCCGCCTCTAAGACCTTGCTGCATAACATACTCAAAGAACTTAGTAAAAAGAAAATTTGGAGCTGAATTTGAAGAGTTAAAATATCTGTTTTCCAAATAAAAACAACCTAAAACATCAGTCAAAAGTCATCATTTTCTAGGGTTCACATCTCCCTTTTTATATAGGTAAGTTAATTCTAAAAATGTTGAGAATTTTATTAAAAACTGTAATTTTACAGAGTACAGGGCTACTTATTTTCAAGTACTTGCCTACCATGTGAATGGTTTTGGAGATTAAAAAAAGACCTGGTTTTGAATCATGGCTCTGCCATTAACTAGCTATGTATCCCTGTACAAAATTCTTTATCCATTTCTTCAAAATAAAATACCACCTACCTTGCAGTGTTGTGACAATATGTAAAGCACCTCCCAGAGAGCTTTTCACATAACAGTTCTTCATTAAATAGGAGCTATAGTTGTTATTATTATAATTAGCTGTCATGTTTGCCAATATCTACTTATTAACTCACTCAACTATTTTCTTTTCAGTTGCCTTATACTTAATTTCTTTTTCCTGGCTTGCAAAACATTTTGAGATATGCTGGATCAAAGTTACACAATGTCTTTTGTATTAAAAACCTTACTGAATTGTCCTAAGACAAACTAAAAAGATGGAAAGGGCAGGCAGGCAGTTCTTAAGCCACAAGTCAACATTTACTGAACCACTCATGTGATGGTAGCTCTCCATTTTAGAGATAAAGAAACTGAGACCCAAAGAAATAAAGAGTCCTGTCCTAGGTCACAAATGAATTATAACTGAACAAGCCAGAGTCTACCAATCTTGACTCCAAACCCGAGGCTCTTTCCAGTACAAAGTAAAATAAAAATTTTAAATACTGGTCAGACACGGTGGCTCACGCCTGTAATTCCAGCACTTTGGGAAGCCGAGGCAGATGGATCGCCTGCGGTGTGGAGTTCGAGACCAGCCTGGCCAACATGGTGAAACCCCGTCTCTGCTAAAAATACAAAAATTAACTGGCCATGGTGGCATGCGCCTGTAATCCCAGCTACTTGGGAGGCTGAGGCAGGAGAATCGCTTGAACCTGGGTGGCAGAGATTGCAGTGAGCGGAGATCGCACCATTGCACTCCCACCTGGGCAACAGGGCATGACTCTGTCTCAAAAAAAAAAAATTCTAAATACCAATTCTCCTTTAAAAAAAAGTCCGGGGATCTGAGCTTAAAACACACTGATACACTGAGAAACCAGGAGTGTTTCCATTTCAAACAATGTTGAATATTAACCTTAACCTGAGCCTCCAATTCAGGCAGCTTTAATTTTTTTTCTAAATCATGTCGTATGGCCTAGCATGACTTGGCAAATAGGCAATTTTTTTTTCCTGTCCAGAAACCCTTTCTCCAACCACTGAAAACAACACAGGAAAAACCAACATTCTTCCTAGAGTTAATTTTAAAATACTTCGATTTCACACACAGGTAATACCTACTCGTAAATGCTGGCTTAGAAACAGGAGTGAACAGGTCCTCTTCCCGCTTACTAGGCCCATGCATAGCTGTTTTCTTCCCCACTAAGGCTGCTTCATTAAAATGTAAACGTCAAAACCACATAGATCAATACGTGGATGTGAATGATCCAGAGCCTATGAGATGTTAATACAAACACCACTACCTGGCCCTTTTGAAAGCCTCAATTATGGAAAGTGGGATTGTTTAAGAGCCTGCATTACAGTTTCATAGATTAAAATACCATTCTCTCCATTGGCATTAGGTTGTGAGTGGGCTTTTTTTTTTTTTTTTTCCTTCTTTTTCTAACGTTGAATGTGTATACATCATTGCCCACCACCAGGAGGGGATTCCTATAACAAGGCAGAGAGGGTGGCAGGCTCCCGAGGACTGGAGAAGGCCAAGACCGGCGGCGCTGCTCGCAGAGAGCTTTGGGGCCTCCGTTGTTGCACGGCTCACCCCAAGAACTTAGCTCGGGTGCCGGGAGGGTCGCTGCGCGAAACCTGCCCGCGGGGCTGCGTGCCAGCCCCCACCTGCGCACCCAAGCCCCCAAGCCCAAAGGGAAAGCGCCGGGGCCTCCTTAAAACCCAGCGCAGTCTGCTGCGCAGCGGCTCGCACGGAAACCGGGTGAAAAGAAAGGGGGGCCGGCGAACCCTAAAATTAGCGTTCCGGAAGCAGCGGCCCGGCACCGCCGCGCGGAGACAGCGTCCTCCGCCCGGGCGACAGCGCGAGCGCTCTCCCCCGGGCGCGCGGCCCCTCTGCGCCCTTCCTGGGCACGCGGGCCAGGAGCACGACCAGCTCAATAGGAAGGAAGGGCTCCCCCCGGAAACGGGATCGGGGAACACGTGTAGCCTCCGGAGACCTAAGGGTCCATCGCTCCTCCCCCAAAATGCGGCAGAACATTTAAGGAGGCTCCGAATTTAAAACCCCAGAATCCTCCAGAATGCTTGTTGTTGAACTTAAAATTTGGTTGGCTCATTTTTCAGTGAGCCCTTTCCTTTTTTGAGTTTTTATTTAAATCGGTTTCTCTCTTCCGCCATCCCCCCCCAACAGAATTAGAGTGTTGGGAGGTGAGGGGGAGGTAAGGAGTGGAGGCTGATGGAGTGGGGGTAGTTTACATCCCAACATTTCTCTGCAAGATAAACAGTTTTGAAGGTCAGCGACGGCTCCCCATGGAGCGCTCCTAAAAAGATTAATGTTCATTAAAGGATTCTCCGTCAGCGTTTACCTTGAGAACCCAAACTGTTTTAAGTCCCAAGTATTTCAGATATTCCAATTCTAATAATATATTGAAAACCTGTATATTCATTATTAACTATTGTGAACACCCCCAAAATAAAATTATCAAAAATCTGGGAGCTAGTCTAAGGAAATCTGTGAAAGCTGTGTTACTCAGCCAAGATTAAATGAAGAATGCAAAAATAGAGTTATATTTAGTACTACAAAAATGGAAAGCTGAATGACACAATATTTGCAAACTAGAAGCTAGTCATTTTTTAAAGTCATCATATTTATTATATAACTAGAATGTTAATATAGGCACGGTAATTTTAAACTAGTCATTAATACAAACTAAATATGTCTGTGGAGTGACATTGCATCCCTAGGATCTTTTAGCCTTTAGCCCTCTCTTAGCCATCCTTCTGCAGTCCGCCCCTTACCTTTATTTTCAGAATCTTTCATTCTCTGCTTCCTCCCTCTGCTGCAAATGAGCAGGAAAGTCCGTCTGATTCTGCAACCCTGACTTTTGATTTGTCATTCACAGTCAGCGGTCTCGGGGGCGAAGTCTCTCAACGGAGGAGCACTCGGGCTATGATAATTGCATGCAAGTCGGTGTGCGGGGTTATAATTTTGCTTATACTGGAGCGGAAAGGATGGGGATGAAGGCAGACGTAAACACAAATTCCAAAACATGGCATGGAACCGGATCTGGAGCCGAGGTTTGCCTTTCCTTCCCTCAGGATAGGGAACCAACTGTTTAGCGCCTCCTCATCTCTGAATTGAAAGGGGAATGTCTGTGTCATGCACCAGGTTTATTTTCAGATGGTAAGTCAGCTTTGGAGGAGGATTAAGAGTCCTGTACTTTCATTCATTCATTCAACATTTATTTTACCTCTCTGTGGACCAGGCTGTATGCTAAGTACTGGGGATACAACAATGCACAGGACCAGCCCTCGGTCCTCAAGCTGCTCACAGGCGTTACAGTACAGAGGCATACAGTGCAATATAATGGCCTGTGTCTGCTGCATGGACACAGGTTATTGAACCCATTTCACCCAGGCCTAAGTTGATACTCAAGGAGGCTTTAGTGACTGGTTGTAAGCCATTGAGTGGCAGACTAGGAATAGGTATGAGGATACCAAACCATAAGACCCCTCTGTTGGAGAGTAAGGAGGATTCAAGTAAATCTTTCAGTCATTCAGTTCGCTTACTCTAAATCATTCCACAGCTCAGATTCATTCATTCATTCCTTCAATCATTTATTCAACACATGGTTATTTGTGCCAGGCACTATTCCACCTGTTAGGGTTTCAGGTCCCTGCCTTCTTGGCTATTGCACTCTGGTGCAAGCATTCAGACAGGTAATGTAGACATATAATAAATGGCAATAAATGTTGTGAAGAAAAATGAAACATGGTAATGAAGTAACAGGGGTGCCATTTTAGGTAGGGTGGCCAAGGGAGGTGCCATTTTACTTGTTTTATGGACAATGGGTAAGAGTCATCACAGTCTCTTCCAAACGGCCTCACTCAGAAACGGTTCTTTAAGTTCTGAACCCTCCCAATCTCCTCCGCTTCATGCATACTCACTGATGGATGGTGTTTATTCCCCATGATACAGATTGGTAAACTGGTAGCCAGAAAGACTAACTGACTCAAATACATAACGAAATTGGAAGAAAAGCAACAGAAAGGAATATATCTTCCTGTTACTCTCATCCTCAGAAATTACTGAGTTAAATGCAATATTGATATTAAAAATTTGCTGGACTAGGCATTAAAAGGGTTGAAGACCTATCTCTACCATCTCTACCTTTTATTAACTGAATAGTGTAGGGCAAGTGACAGAACCTCTCTGGCGTGAGTTTTCTCATCTGTAAAGTGGGAATAATCATAGCTGTCCTATATATGTACTGGGTTGTTCATATCATTAAAAGGGAGAACAGAATTTTGTAAACAAAACACTAAATAAATGTAGGGTATAATTACCAACTGCTTGGGCACATTTAAGAGGACTAATTGTCAGTGTTCACCTGTTCATTACTGCAACCCGAGAGTCAAATATAGCTATAATGTGAGAGCTTTCATGGCTATTAGGGGGCCTTGAGTTGACTTCTCGTTGCCACAACTGGAAGACTCCCTGAAAGCTTTGGGAACTTTAAGTATTTGTTTTTGGTTCCATCTTTCCTTGGCAGTGGATAATATCTTTCTGCTGTCTTTGACAACTTAAGACCAATATGGAAAATCTGCCTTCATTACAACTCCTTACCGGCCACCAAATGAGACGTTGGCTAAACCACATCAGAGAAACTGGCATCTTTATCTCCAAGGACCAAGTCCAGGATAGCCAAAATGTGCCCAAGAGGAGCACTTTGGGGGACTGAGAAGGTGAGGGAGTAGGTGGTGAGAAGCCATCATTCATGCACTCTTTTATTCAATAATATTCATGGTACCAGGCACTGCTGTGAACACTAGGAATGACACAGTGCTGAACAAAACATTCTGTCCTCAGGAGCCTGTGGTCTCAGGTCAAGAGGCTTCCACTAGATACGCCAATTTACCAAAGTAGGCAAAAAAACGCCAAGGCGTGGGTTTGAATAGTAGGGCAAGAGCTCCAAAGCAAAAGAGGACTGGGAGAGATGGCTGATGCCTGTAATCCCAGCACTTTAGGAGGCCAAGGTGGTAGGATTGCTTGAGGTCAGGAGTTCAAAACCAGCCTGGTCAACATAGTGAGACCCTGTCTCTACGAAAAAAATTTTTTAGTTTGCTGGGCATGATGGCATGAGCCTGTGGTCCAGCTACTTGGGAGGCTGAGATGGGAGGATGCTTGAGTCTGGGAGGTCAAGGCTGCAGTGAGCCATGGGCAACAGAGCAAGAAAGACCCTAAGTGACAGACCAGACTGTGTCTCAAAAAATAAATAAAATAAAGCGTAAGAGAATGGATTCAAACATGGGCCCTGCCATGTACCAGCCCCTGGAATATAAGCTGAGACAAGTTGCTGCACCTCTCTTAAGTTTCCATTTTCTGATCTGCAGGATGGAGGCGATAATGGTACCCATCTTCCACAGCTGGGTGAGGCTCAAACAAGTTAATACGTTTAAGGTTCATAGCACAAAGCCTGACACATAAGGGCTCCATAAATGCTGTAAGATGAGTAGTACTACCTTGTAACTGGGTCAAGTTTACTCCCCTAAGCTTCAGTTTCCTCATAAAATATGGAAAATAATAACTAGTTTGTAGGATTATTGTGAGAATTACATATGAAGAAGAATATGAAGTCGTTGGCATAAAGGAATAAAGGAATAAGCAATCACCAACCACCCCCACTCCAGGCCCTTTTTAAAATTTTTTTTATTTTTAATTTTTGTGGGTACATAGTAGGTATATATATTTATGAGGTACATGAGAAATTTTGATACAGGCATGCCATGTGTAATAATCACATCATGGAATATGGAGTATCCATCCCCTCAAGCATTTATCCTTTGTGTTACAAACAATCCAATTATACTCTTTCAGTTATTTTAACATGTACAATTAAATCATTATTGACTCTAGTCACCTTGTTGTGCTATCAAATACTAGGTCTTATTCATTCTTTCTAACTATTCTAGGCCCTTTTTAATAAAGAAGGCTCCCCAAACCAAAATTTTAAAAAGACTAATGCTAGGAGTAGAAACGAAGTGGAAGAAGGGAAGGAAGACACCCATTTATATTGCAAGAGGAAGTAATAATGTTTTCAAAAGTGTAGTCATTTCTAGGGGTATTTGCATTGTACCCAACATTGTATTTTGAAAAGTTTCAAACACACCAAAAAGTTGAAAGCATTATTCAGTGGGCCCCATATCCAAGTACCTTTGGGTATATTTGCTTCATCACATGTGTCTGTTTCTCTATCCAACTTTAATTGATCTTTTTTCTCCTTAAGTTGAAAGAGGTTTGAAGGCCTCATCAAATATAAAGAGCCTTTATTTTCCCTCCTGATGCAGTATTTCCAGAAGCACAGGCCTCCTGATTCTGTGGCTATTCCAAGCAGAGCTGGGTGAACTCTCAGACGTCTTGTCATGTCACACAGTAAATCTCAAGGCCACACCCAGTTAAGGACAAGGATGGAGTCTAGAGCTTTCCACAACAAGGCAATATCTCTGTCAGACCCCAAGCTTCAGATAAACTGGTACTGAGGATGATTAGAAACAGCCGCTAATGGACAAGATGCTCTATCTCAAAAACCGGGTTTAGGAAAAGCTTCAGGCAGGCTTCGCTGGCCACTAAGTCCCTTGACAACCCTGCACATCCTTGTCTTGTTAGATGCCACTCTGAGTCACTAAACCAGTGACTCATGCTCAGCAAGCGAGGCCATCTTGAGAGCTAAACTGAAGGGAATTTTCAAGAACAACGAGTGAAACCCTGAATTGAAAGGGAATAAGGCTTTTTATTGTCCGAGCAAAACAAAAATGAAAGGAAAAAAAACACTGCTGTCATACTGTGGATTAAACTTTCCCAGCTGCAAATTTTACACTGAGGAAACACTGGGCACCAAAAAAAAATAAGTAAATTTAAAAAAAAAAAAAAGCTTTCACATGCCCTTGGAATTTTTGAGGCATTTTAATTCTTGATTAGTTGATAGATAAGCAGAAACCTAGAACACATGTCCCAAATTAGGCAGATGAAATGATCTTTCAATGACTTGTCTAGAGCTTCTGCTTGCTTAGTCATTCATTCCCAAAGAGTGGCTTTACCTGCAACCCCACACTCGGTCTTCCTGCACCCAGCCAAGCCTCTGTCTGGCTTGCTCAGAGCACCCAAATGGCCAGAAAAGAGGTGAGAAGGAAAAAGAAAATGTGCTTACTGCGGGGAGGGGGTAGATGTTTAGGATTAGGGCTAGCCACAGAGAAGAGGGCAGCATGGGTTATATGGAGTACCTACTATATGCCAAGCTATTTTCTAATCATCATCATCATACATTTGTTGAGAACTTACTATTTGGCAAGCATTGTCTTTAATGCAAGGACTCAGAGCAGACCTCCAGGGTTTGAATCCCAGCTTACTAGTTGTATAACTTTGGAAATGTTACTGAACCTCTCTCTGCTTCAGTTTTTCTTATGTGTAAAACGAAAGCTGTAAAACAGGGTTATTATAAGAATAAAATAAAATCATACACTCTTTAAGACAGTGGCTGGCACATAGTGTGACAAAAGCAATGCACACGTTAACTCTTGCCATTCATTTTATTAGATGAGAAAAACGAGGCAGAGAGGCAAGAAGACTTGCCAAAGGAGACACATAGCTAAACATAGCAAAGTCCAGAATTGTCATGTCATTTATTTCTCACACAGTCCTGTGAGGGAAATGGGAAGGAAAGGAGAGTAGCTTCACCTGCAACACCACACTCAGTCTTCCTTTTATTGGTAAGAGTTTGGAAACCCAAGACGGTCTAGTAATTTACACGTCACAAGTTGGCAAGTAGGAGAGTTGAGATTTAAACCCACATTTGCTGACTGTAAAACCCTTGCTCATCCTACTAGGTCGGTGGTTCTCAACCTTTAGCATGTGTCAGAATTACTGCAGAGTTTATTAAAACACATTTCCAGGTCCCAGCCTCCTACCCCTCCCCATCCTCCCATCCTCCCACCCCTCAGTTTGTGATTTGGTAGCTCTGAGAGGGGGCCTAGAATTTGCATTTCTAACAAGATCCTGAGTGATGTTGATGCTGCTGGTCTCATGCTGCTGGTCTAGAAACCAAGCTTGGTTGGTTTGACCTCCATTCAATGACCTCCATTCAATGTGGCTTATTTTTAGGGACATATGGCTAGACAATGGCAGTGAGAGAATAAACCACTGATCAACGTGACAGAAATTCTGTCCTTTTCTCCAAGTAAATTGTTCTGGAAAATACTATCTACTGATGGACAATGACTCTAGTTCCAACCTGTGTCTTCCCAGAGAATACCACAGCTCAGGAAAGGGCTCCTCGCCCGCCACAGGGTTTAGAGGAAGGAATTTCTGGTGGGAGGAACTCAAGGCTGGTTATCTACCATAATTTCAAGGGCTAGAGAAGTCTACTGCTCATAAAATGCTTTCCTCATTTGCTCCCTTTTCTATAACCTACGAACTTTGATATTTGAGTAAAATGGTTTTCTGGAATGGATGGAAGCATTTGGAGGGTTAATTTCAATTCAGCACAGCTTGTTCATTTAGAACTACTGGCATAATTAAGTATATTTTTAAAAGTTGTTTAGACCTCTAAACCAACAAATAATTCATATCCAGAATATTTAAAGAATTCCTAAAATGGATAAGGAAAAAAAAAACCACCAAGTTAAAGAAATAAGAAAGACATCAATAGGCCTTTCACAAAGGTTCACA